GAGCTGCGCTGCACAGATGGGAGGGATTCCCTAACAAGGACGTCATCGTCACACGCAGACTGAGTAAAGCCCGTCTTATGCGCATGAAAAGACACATCCGAACCAAAACGGCGGCATGAGGGTGTGGTCCACCCCAAATTAGGACGCCATGATAGCGCAATCGAGTTAAGTGAGCCGTGACGTGGACCAAAAAGTGTCCATCGAGACCGCTGATTGGCCAGATGACAATGATTATGTCAATAATCGCGGACGTAGACATTGCCACGGCGCGCTGATTGGCTACAAGGTCGAAGTGCGACGGCGGAATACGTCTGCAAGTGCAACATGGGCTTAAACCAGTTTTGGATCCGCAGATGACGAACCCCAAGATTGCGAGCACTCATCGTAGATCGACTCAGAGGTCGAGGGCTCGTACCGATCTGCTTTATTATACTTGTCGTGGCTGCCGATTCGAGATTCGCCAGCAGATTCTAGCGCGGAACCCAAAAGCAAGCAGTTGAACCGAGTTGAGCCGAGTGATCTCCACGTCAGTTGCAGCAGATAACTTTCTTACTTGACTTTTATAGCGGCACAAACGCAGTGAATCCCCACTATGCTGGCATTCAATACACGTCCACATACTTTCTTTTTTCTTGTTTTGCATGCCCGCACGAACAATGAGATGGGCAACTGTACGGGTCGTCACAAGATGGGGGTATACTTATGTGGAAGCACACGCACCTTACCTTTGTCTTCACTTCATTTCTTTTTGTCAGCGCGTTGCCCACCAGTGGCGAGTCACCACGATGCTCTGTGCAGTTTGAATGAAAGGCTTCGTGGACCAATAATCACTGCAACGGGGCCAATAACGCGGCGTCAATTGAAGTGGCATGCCACGTCACACTTCTCTGGTCGATTGGCTAATCACGTACAACTTCCGTATTACATCGGATACGAAGGGATATTCTATATAGAAATACAGATCCAGAACGACTCCTGCTCACTCAAATTTTTCATGACAACATCTATGCAGTTGTATAAATATAAGCAGGATCTTGCTTCAACTTTTGCAATGTTATCGTATCCCTCTTATTAATACTCTCTGCATCTTTGATCGCCACGCACGTCAACCTGCTCATTCTTAAATCTACATTGATCCACTCAAGTTAAGCCCGACTCACTAACCATCATGGCCAAGATCGCTATCATCTACTACTCCACCTATGGCCACATCGCCCAGCTCGCCGAGGCTGCCAAGAAGGGCGTCGAATCCGTCGACGGCGTGACTGCCGAGATCTACCAAGTGCAGGAGACGCTCTCCGACGAGATCCTGGGCAAGATGCACGCCGCCCCCAAGAAGGACCACCCCATCGCCACTGTGGACACCCTGAAGGAGGCGGACGGCATCCTGTTCGGCTTCCCCACGCGCTTCGGCTCGCTGCCAGCGCAGGTCAAGGCCCTCTTCGACTCGGCCGGTGGCCTGTGGGCTGCTGGTGCTCTGGTGGGCAAGCCTGCCGGCATCTTTTTCAGCACGGGTACTCAGGGCGGCGGCCAGGAGACGACGGCCTTCACTGCCCTGACGTTCCTCGCTCACCAGGGTCTGACCTTCGTGCCTCTGGGCTACCGTGCTCCGGAGCTCTTCAACATGGACGAGATCCATGGGGGATCTCCGTGGGGAGCTGGCACTCTGGCCGGTGGCGATGGCTCTCGCCAGCCATCGAAGCTCGAACTGACGGTTGCCACCACGCAGGGCAAGTCGTTCGCTGAGGTAGCCAAGAAGCTGGCCGCTTAAAGCATGTAAATGTTAGATTCATCTCAGTTCTGCCGATTTGAATTTAATGAAAACCCGTATTACCTTTCCGGCTCTTGCTTATTCGACATGAGTAGCTGGTAAATTAAAATGGTTCTTTGCATTTTTAGTGAAATTTGTCATTTATTTATTACTTACTATTAGTTTTATCTATTCTTCAAGGTTATAAAATAATTGAAAATTATGATTTAAACATGTTAGTTTTAGCATTTATTTTTTTCATGTGTTTCATATATTGCATTAGTTTCTACTCTTGAAATAGTTTCAATTTTTCCAAAGAGAGAATTGATTTTTAAATTTAAATTTAAGATTTTTTTCACATATAAATTATTGGTCATCGCAAATATTTTGGCCCAGGTCTGTATATTATCTCGGTTGTAATCTCGTGTTTAAATTACCCAGGTCTCATTTATGACTTAGCTCTGAGTTATAAAACATGACGATTTGAGTGATAAACTCGTATCTCATACATAAACGCTACTAGTGAGTTTGAAATGTAGAATTGCCCTTCTTGAAGGCCGAGAACGACTTCGCTGCTTCCAAATCAGACCGCTTCATAAAGTCATATCAATATAGAGATGGCATGTCTCGTGAAAACTCAGATTTTTTTTTGTTTTAGGGGTAGTTTCCAGTCTATTTTAGTGGTATAAAATCGAGGGCAAAGTATCTGCAATGGACAATAACTTTTTATTTTTGAATTTTATCAAATAATAGTGAAATTATTTACAAATGTTTTTGATTTTTTATTATTTAAAATGAATTAAAATGAGTTATAAATTACACAAAGAGATTAATTCCTTTCGGCAGATGTTTTGTTAAACTAAAAAATCAAGCTGGTGAAATGGTTTATTTTGAAAAATGGTATTGCATTAAATTTAAAGCCTGTAGTAGTTGCGGTTATTGTTTTTTATAGAACAATGAATTGATTTTTTAGATATTGACATAAAATGTAGATATTATCTTCATTTAATGTAAAGAAAATAATCGTAATGGCTAACCCAAATTTGTTAAAACTAATAATGATTAATATTGTGCTTTTATATCATCAATTATAACTGCAAAATAAATAACAACCAAATAAGTGATAAATCTAAATCATTTAAATGCCATGAAAATAACAAGCACATTGGGTGGAAATGACCCAACGTACTGAAGGCCGACTATTTAATTAATGGGACGTCCAGCTTTTCCTACTCTAATTTTTATGGATAATATTATGGTAAACATGGTGTGATATTTTATTATGAATTATCTAAACAAGCAGATGAATGGCATTAGTACTAGGAAAGCTTTAGAACGCGAAATATGTAAAGAAGATGGTGAGTTAAACAACGCCCAAACGGTGACAAAAAATAGCGGCAGAAGAAGAATAAGCTCGAAGAGCAAGCTGTCGAATGTTCGTGCGAAGAAGAGGAGTCAACGAATATGGAAGTGTAGAACTAAACACGCGGCGGTCGGGTCTTCATGTGAAGAAGACGAATCACCAGCGATCGAATTTCTAGCTGTAGAATATTTTGAAACGAGTTTCAACCTCGGCGGAACAACTGCCTACTCCAATCGAGGATATCGAGGATTACAGTTATTATTTTAACCGGATTGATATTGCGAGCAAGACGATGAACCACCAGAGGGAGATGAAGTAATAGTGGACGTTTACCAACCCGGTGCGGTTGCAGCAACGCATATTACCACCAGGACCGTTGCCTGGGAAATGAAAATGGAAATTCGTAATGGTCAATGAAGCAACGATCTGATCGACGCCATTTTGGCCTAGAACGCTCAACTGGTACACGCCGACACTCTTCAAGTGCTCAAGATTGTTTCCTACATTCAAAATAAGACGTGGTTAAACGCTGAAGTGGTGTGTATACCAGTACGCCACAGCTGCGGTGTAATGCCTGTCTTGACCGTTAAGGGGTATTCATAACAAAGCGTGTATGTTATGGATGGATCCGACGCGCCCAACGTAAAAAAAACATAGCTGCTCAAACTGCTGGCTGTAGTTTAGCGGTGTCGTCCAAATGAACGTCAGTCGCAATGGAAAACTACTCTTCGGAGATGCTCTTGTGGATAAACTTTGTCAGACTCGTCTGTAACGCATATGTTGCGGTAAAAGAGGAAAACTGGTTGATCTTGGAGAATAAACTGGCCGCCAAGAGCCCAAGCGAGTTTTTCGATACAACCAATCTGGTAACGCTTGCAAGATTGGATTTGGAAGCACTTTGTAAGAATGAGACCGTGTTATTGTGTCACGGAAAGAGAGACCGCTCAGAGCGATACTCTCGTTATGGCCCGTGCTATTACGCGCCACCGGTGTTACCGCACAAAATCAAGCTTTTAGGTCGTTGCGAGGAAGACTTGAGTCGATGTGAGAAGTAGCTGGAAAGATGAAAAGTGAGTTTGCAATTAAGAAAGAAATACATCAGCGCTTCCGACCTTCCTACTCTCGGCGAGCGCTGCCCTGGCTTCGTGCTTCACGTCTTTGGGTTCAGCCAGGTTGCAGTTGAAGAACAGATGATGACCCGAACATGATGGCGCGACTCCCGGTGCACTGCAACGTCCACCTAAGATGTGTCGTTAACTCAGGTGTGGTGCCACTTGTCCTGACACTCCCACTCGGCACATCCTAAGTGTGTAGATGAATGTTTCGAACTTGTGCTGCGCTAGAGGCTTGGTAAAATGGTCGGCGACCATGCTCGCCGTCGGACAGTAGTGAAGCTCGACTGTCTCGTTTTTAATCTGCTCACGAATCCAGTGGTACCGCAAATCAATGTGCTTGGATCGTTGGGCGACACCTTTTCCTTCGGCAAGATGCTGTGCTGCCTGGTTGTCCTCGTACACGATGATTTTTCCCACATCCATACCGAGCTCGACCAGAAGCCGCTTGAGTCCAATACACTCCTTTGTACCGTGTGTTAGAGCGACGTACTCAGACTCGGTAGTTGACAGCGTCACGATAGGCTGCTTTTTGGATCCCCAGGCAATGCAACAGCCGTTCAGAAACACAGCAAATCCTGAAGTCGACTTGCGTTCACGCTCACAAGCGAACGCCGCGTCACAGTAGACTTCGAGTGAGAGCTGGTTGCTTTCCCTTGAACGTTGATACTGGAGCCCAATACTCCTTGTCCTTTTGAGGTAGCCCATGACGCGCTGGATACCATCGCGTACTGTAGCTGTTGGATGCTCACATTCTTGTGCCAAAATACGAACCGAAGTTGACAAATCTGGGCGGCTAATAGTGGCAGCGTAGAGTAGTGCACCGATGACCGGACGATGAGAATCGTCAACCAGAATGTCGTCGGAAGCAAGTCGCCGCTGAAACTCAGCATCCATTGGAGTCCGAGGCAAATGCTTTTCACCGGTATTCCCGAACCGCTGCACCACAGACTCGCTGTACTTGCGCTGCGAGATAATAAGAGTCGATCGGTCCTCACTCCATGATAGCTCCATTCCCACAAAGCAATTTGCAGAGCCACACGTATTGATGGCGAACTTCTCTGTGATGCCTGTCTCGAAGTTAGACAGTTCCAACTGCTTGTCGCTGAAGATCAGCATATCATCTACATAAAGCAGATTCACGACGATGCTGTTAGCATTCCGCTTCACCAGTGCACATGTGTCGGATTGGCACTGCTGGAAGCCAATCTCGAGTAGATAACGAGTCACTGTTTCATACCATGCACGCGACGCCTGTTTTAACCCGTAAAGCGCTTTCTTTAGTTTCCAGACCTTTGCCTCATCGCTTCCTTCTGTTGGCGGTATCACATAGATGTCCTCGGTCAGGTCGCTGTTCAAGAAGGCTGTCTGGACATCTAGCTGTAGATGATACCAACCTAGTTGCACAGCTAGAGCGAGCACTGTGCGAATTGATTCATGTCGAACCACAGGGCTGAAAGTCTCTGAATAGTCAACTCCAAATTGTTGCGTAAAGCCCTTCGCAACCAACCGCGCTTTGTATTTGTCCAGGCTCCCGTCAGCAAACGTTTTTCGCCGAAAAACCCACTTGGTTTTCACAGGTCTGACGTTGCTGGGAGGGAACATCTCCTCGTAGGTTCCGTTGCGCCTGAGACTGTCCAGTTCCTCGTTCATTGCATGACGCCACTGTTCTGCGTCAGGGCGAGACATGGCTTCCTGCAGCGTCAATGGGTCCTGCATAGTCGTCACCAGCGCACTCTCCGTGTTGTTGTGAGACTCCTCAAACTCGAGCCGGCGGACGCTTTTCTTTGAAACGCGCTTGCTGCGTCGCACCATTTGCTTTTCCTGCCGTGGCTCGTTCCGCTCAGCTGGAAGCTGCTTTCCTTGCTCGTCAACCTGCATTGGTGTGGGTGATTCAGTCACAGCCTCATTTGGTGTCGCACCTTGCACTTCTGTGATGATAGGCACATCTGCATCCATAGTGACGAGATTGTCCTTGGCCATTTTAGACTCGAAGAATACCGCAGTGAGTGCAGTGATAACACTCCCACTGCCTCCGTATCCACTCGGAACCCAAAATCGATAGCCGCCAGCCTTGTCATACCCGAGGAATAGCCTTTTGTTGTCTTAGCATCGAGCTTCTGGCGTTGAGACTTGGGCAGTAGCACTTGAGCACTACAGCCAAAAGTTCGCAGATTCTTAAGTGAGGGTGCCCGCCCTGTGAGCCTTTCCAACGGCGTCTTGCCACCCAACACTTTCGAGGGACACCTGTTGCGAATGTACGCAGCCGCAAGAACAGCATCACTCCAGAACCGCTTGCCAAGTCCTGCGGCTTGTAGCATAGCACGAGCCATTTCCACGATAACCCTGTTGCTGCGTTCGACCTTACCATTTTGCTGTGGTGAATAAGGAGTGCTGAATTCCTGCGCGATCATGTGCTTGTTGCAAAAATCAGCAATCTCGCCACCTACATACTCAGCTGCATTATCGCTCTTGAGTACAGCGACGCTTGCATTGGACACAGCAACTTTCAGGTTGGCAATGCAGTCACGTACTGCGGAGAGCTGCGTGGCCGAGCTCTTGTCCTTCACCGGGAACACTGCTGTCAGATGGTACGGCTCGATCATGATGTTCACCATGCCGGTAAAGCCATCATGTGACGTAGTCTCCATCGGGCCAACGTAGTCAATTGCTATCAGAACTTGCCCACGCTTCAAGTCTCGAGGTTTCTTGGAAGGGAATGGTAGTCTTGCCAGTTTACCTGCAGCACACGCGTCGCATGGGGAAATTTCTGAGTTTGCCACGTGAATGCCGCACCCGCGTAGCACTTTCTTTAGGTCACGGGTATTCAGATGCCCAAGTCGATTGTGCCATAGACTCAGATCACGGTCGCTTGTTGCAGCGTTTGCTTCCGCCCAGGCACCCGATACTGGAGACGTCACCACATACAGTCCACTGTCTCGACGATCAGCGACCAATCTAGAGTTCCCACAAGAAATCGTGCAACGACCTTGATCGAAAGTTGCATGAAGGCCTGCTGTTCCTGCTTTACTGAGGCTCACGAGGTTCCTTTGAAGACCTGGCACGTACAGAACGTTTTCCAAAGTGCACGCACCACCATCCACAAGAGGCAAACGAGCTTTTCCTCGCTGAGTTGCATTCAGCGTCATTCCACTGGCAGTCGTTACCACGATCGGGTGCGACATGTCCCGAAGACCAGTCAGCAGCTCCTTGCGCCCAGTCATGTGGCTGGAAGCGCCCGAGTCAATGATCCATTCCACAGCCGCACGCTCGCTGACTTGGAAAGCAAAACCAGACTCGGCACTATCGTTGTTTCTGCGTCCAGCACCACTGCCAGACATCCCATCAACACGTCGTTTTGGAGCCCTGCACTCGTTCTTGAAGTGACCGCGTTTTCCACAGTTGAAACACTTGCCCTTCTTCTTGCCATCATGCTTTGCAGCAAAAGCATTGCCACTGCGGACCATGGAGCCACCACCGCGCTTTCCACGCTGAGCTTGCGTCGAGCGACGTCGCGCCTCACCAGCAGCCTTGATTAGCATCTCTTCGAAGGTTGAACACGCTTCGAGAGAGCCCACATAGCCGTTCCAATCCGGGCCCAAACTTTGCAGAAAGTTGCTTTTCTTTTCACCGTCGGTCAGAGAAACCTTGTAGCACGCCAAGTCGGCCAGCATAAGCCGTGTCTGCCGAATGTGCTCAAGCATGTCACCTCCTACATCAATGTAGAGTGACATATACTCTCGCTTCAGCGCTCCCACCGTCGTGTCACACACGTGGCGGTAGGTCTTCTGCAGCGCCATCAACATCTGCTGCGGGTGCTCGAGGTCGGCCACCACCGCAGCTTGCTCGTCGGTCAGTGCCGCCAAGATGATAGTCATTGCGAGTTTCTGACGCACAGCGAGCTGGTGTAACGGACGATCACCAGTGCCGGACCCTTCAGCAGACAGCTGTCCTACAGTTGGAGCAGGCTTGAGCACCGCCTCCCAGACGTCCTTGACCTCCAGGTAGAGCTGGAGCTGGCGGGCCCACACGCGATAGCCAGTCCCGTCGAACTTGCGTAGTTTCGTAGTGAAGGCAGCCGTAGACACAGACGTCGACGAAGGCGCTGTCGAGCCAGCCGTTGACACAGATGAACTCATAACCTTTTAGGTCGTTGCGAGGAAGACTTGAGTCGATGTGAGAAGTAGCTGGAAAGATGAAAAGTGAGTTTGCAATTAAGAAAGAAATACATCAGCGCTTCCGACCTTCCTACTCTCGGTGAGCGCTGCCCTGGCTTCGTGCTTCACGTCTTTGGGTTCAGCCAGGTTGCAGTTGAAGAACAGATGATGACCCGAGCATGATGGCGCGACTCCCGGTGCACTGCAACGTCCACCTAAGATGTGTCGTTAACTCAGGTGTGGTGCCACTTGTCCTGACACAAGCAAAGCAATCTACTTCATACCGTTGTCTACAGGAAGAAGAGCAAGAAACGAAAGGAAATGCCCGACAATACGACCGTGGGTCTCGAAAAAGAAAATCATTCAATCAATGGCTCCATCTACATTGCCCTCTAACTCGCTCTATGTCGCATGCGTCTACCATGTTGAGTTCATCCGAATTGCCATCGTTGCCGCTAACATCATGGTTGTTTGGTACGTTTTTGTCGTCCAGTCCTTCTTCAATTGACACTTTCATAACGCTCCACAGCTTCCTGTGATTAAACGCTTCGTGTCGTGGCCACTACGTCGTCATTACCGTCAACAACATTTGATTAGGGTCTTGTTCTCTGCAGATGCGGGCGTGGTACTGGAGAAGTCGTAGATGATCTTAAGCAACTGTGGCAGCAACACAAGCGAGTTGGTAGACGTCGGGTAGTCGGGTAGAGCCGGCATAAGTTATCTTGATCTGCCAAGCAAAAGTGCGAAAATGGGGGAAATGACAGACAGACATTTATTCTATTGTTTTGGATTTTCATAATTAAATTCATTATATTGAAAATAAATCAAAAATAATATTAAAATTGAGTGCATTTGCTTGAACTAAAATCAATTAATTATAATCATTAATTTATAAGTTTCTACAATATTAAATAAATATGATAAATATCCGTAATTTAAAATAAAGGAATGTAATTTTGATATGGAGAACTTGATCATCGAAGGAAAGCTGTAAGAAAGAGAAACTTGTGTTCTACGTCTTCGTTTGCTTCGACGTGAATACGCCGTAGATGAGTTCTTGGTGTGGTTTTCGTTGCTGCAGAGATTCGTTCACTCTTCTCCAAGGACCAAGTTCAAAAAGTTACTTGCCTCTCATAAGAAATCCGGTGCGTACTTGTCGAGATACAAACACCATTAACGTTAGCACACGTAAGCAACCAGGATGTGATATATTCATCTCCATCAATCACCGACGAGTAGTTCGAAAAAAGGTAAAGGTGGGTTTCTGTTCTACAGCATTCGAGTACGGCATTTTGGTACGGATGTGTTCGTCCATACTACATGTACAGATGAAGATTGACTGAAATAATGATTGACAAGATGCTAGAGATCATTAATTGCGTTGACAAGTTCAGTTCTGCGCATGATAAGGTGCCCTAATTGTTTTCTCTTAAGCCGAGACAAAGCAGTGAAATTGTATGGTACATTGGCGTATTGTCATATAAAGGAAACGCGGAAATCGTTTATTAAACGTTTTCCGCATTTTCCTTTTATATCTGTCAGCGACTACATATTATGTAGTCGCTGACGAGATGTTGAGGAGCAAGAAGTGGTTCTGTGACGTTGAAGAGCTGTGTAACACCAAGCGAGTGAAAGTGTGGTGAGTGTACCTGGTGTATCCCCGTGGATTCGTTTACTTTCAGCGGACCGTTGTTCCACCTGGTGAGTTGGTAATATAAAAAAGATAGGTTACGATCGATGCCAAGTTTGTGGTGTTTAAGTCCTAATAGTTGACAAATAATCCTAGCAGTAAGGCCAATAAACATGGCTTCTATTTCAAAACAGGTCTCTTCTAATGCGCACCTTGCAGTTCATCCAGGACGCTCACAACATGAACAAGATCGTCTCTATCAATCACCTTCGAAAGGAACTCCGTCACCTGGTTGATGGAGAAATCCGAAAAAGCACGTACCAGCAACTTCTTCATGGCATCGATCTCCTCCTGCGTTGATGTTTCGTACACATCTCGCTGCTGCCACTTGGACAACTCCACAACGTGCTTAATAAGGAAAGCCAAGCACCCCGCCTCCATCTTCACAGTCTCGCTCTTACACAACAGCGAGGCCATGCCCACTATCACTCCATTTCCACTCCGTGGACGAGAAGTCTCCGTCTCCACTGACGAAGCCTCACACGTGTAGCTGTTGGTAAGGAAAAACAATACGTGCTCGTCTTTCAGAGCACATTGTGCATCCAGCAACTCGCGCAGGAGTTGCAACGCGTGATGGCCATTATTCGCAGCGCAGAAAGCAGCTACAGCATCTTCAGAGAGCTCATTCGGCAGGTCTCTCACGATTCTTATCAGGAGGTTACGCACACGCTGTCCATCGGGGAAGTTACTCAGCGCTATAAACAGCGTATGTAGTAACCGCGGTGTGAGTTCCACACAGTCTTGAGCACTTCTTCCATCATCTTGGTTAGTAGCCGACATCGCGTCTTCTACAAAAGCTAGAGCACGTGCTACATGCTCCGGTTCTTGACTAAGTAGAAGATAGTTCTGCAAGCATATCGTGTCCGGATTCATCCCTCGACCCTCCATAATGTCCAATACTGCTCGTCCAAGTTCGGCTGCGTACTCTCTTCTGCTTCCAACATTCTTGATACTCTGGATCGAGTTCCCATGGAGTCTTTCCATCAGAAAACCTCCGATAGCGTTCAGGTATGCCACGTCCTCGCAGTCCACACTAAGACTTCCTAGCTGACGCAGCAACACGCCGAAGATATGCACGGTCGGCTTCACCTTGGCTTCTTCCATTCTGCACCACCACGAGTGGAAATTCTCCTGGTCTTCTCGACTTGCATACAGACGCAGCATTAAAGCGAGCGTCATCGAGTTGGGTCGAATCTTCATCCTGTGCATACCGTCGGCCACAATTTGCTCTGCTAGAGCGTTGTCGTTCTCATCCACAGCGCGTTTAAGCACGGCGTTCTGTACTCGCGGGTTCAAACACTCGTTCGTCTTTGTTCGATGTAGAGATGGGATCGACTTGAACGATTTCCATAGTGTTTCTGGCGGGATACTTGTTAAAATCGCTGCAAGACGCTCGCCAGTCACCATGGAGATCGGAACACGCTGCTCTATAATCGTGTCGTAGAGCATTGCTGCGCGCTGCGTTTGCTCGCCAAACATGCAGGCTAGTATGGCATAGTCCCACAGCATTGGGAAGTTCTCCAGCACCCGTTTCTCTTGCATCTCCGGCGTCTGTTGTTGGAAAAGGTGGTCGAATAGCATCAGCGCATGTCGCCATTGATCTTGTCGAATGTACGCAACCATCGCTTCACCATACACGTACAGATTGGGCTCCATGCCCTTAACTTTCATGGACGTGAAGACACGAAGCATTTCCTCTGACCGACTAAGTCGTCCGTACGCAACAGCAACCAGCGCCTGGATGCGAACGTCGGATTCGAGTGGAAGATCCTTGAACAGAGGTTCGCCGTTCTGCACGACATCGTATCTTCTTAATACTTCTTCCCACTGCTTCGCACGACTTGGAACCAGTAAGTACCCGTGCACAACGTCAAGTGTAGGATCGCATTTCTCACGCAGTAATTCACTGAAGAAGGCTTCCGATTGCTCCACTTGGGTGCCACAGGAGCACATCAACGCCGAATATGACGTGGCATCCGGTGTTATACTGCGTCCACGCATATCCGAGTAAACACAGAGAGCGTTTTCAAGTAGAGATATCTGGCCGAAGTTCCGTAGTGCAGCGTTGTATACTATCAGCGGGATGTCAATGGCGTGCGTCTGCATCTCGTCCAATAACCGGTAAATGTCGTCCGTGTATCTGTTAGATGGGGCTGCTTTTGGTGGGGGTGCGTTGATGTTCACAAACTGTTGCAATAATGCACGTGCCTTGTGCCATTGTCGCTTGATGGCACACAGATGAATGAGTCGCGAATAGAGCTCCTTCGAAACGGGATAGTGTCTGGCTAGCAACTCGTCGCGAAAGAAAAGCGCTTGTGGCAGTGACTGCGCGTCCATTGCGGCGTGGAAGAGATCAGTCACGATCTCCTGCTTCTCGTCCTCATCCAGTTCTTCATCGTATGCGCGCAAAAATGCATTAAGAAGTACCTGCGTTGCTGTGGCTTCTTTAATGTCAATACAGAGTCGAATCGACGCCACATGCAGCTCTGGAGACGCCTCTAATCCGTACGTCCTCATTTCTTCATGTAAGTGCTTCGCTCTCATCCATTTCTTCGCCACGTGACACGATGCAATTGCATTCTCGTAGATATCAGGCGATGGCTGCATGATCTCCACTGCTTGGTGCATGAAATCGATGATCTCCAGTGCTGTGCGCCATTGTCCGAGCTGTGCACAAGCAGCGGCCGAGTACTCGAGCGTAATGGGCGAAGGCGACACGCCAGCGTCCCGTAGACACGTGTACACTTGCATTACGAATTGTGGGTCCTCTATGGCGTCGGCCACCATCACCATGACAGTGGCGTCCTGTCCGGGCATGGCCGGGTCCACGTATTGCTGCATCCAGCCCGTGACGATCTCCTTGGCTCGCTCCATTGCTGGGCCTGAGGTCACAGGCTCGGCCAGAAAGCTCTTAAGTTCGTCATACTCGTCCTGAGGTACTGGTGGGCAGCTGGATGTGACTTGGGAGAAGCTGTGAAGTTGCAGCACGCGCTTGGTGAGCGGAGACTGGCGCTGATACCGAGCTAGTGAGGAATTGAGGCTTCTACTGGGTGGTGCACGACGAGCAGCACCGCGTTGTGAAGAGAAAAGAACGGCCGACGTAGAATTTCCATTGCAGGCGCTGGCCGCACGTAGAGACAGCTCCAATAGCCGTCGAGGCACGCGATGGCCACGACTCAGCATGAAGTCGCACCTCCAGAACCGCTCGCAACCGCAAAAATGACAGCGTTAGAATTGAGCGGTTTAACGTGATTTCTTAACTGAAATGTGTGGACCACGTATATCTATCCATCTCGATAACCTGACAAAAAAGGATGTTTATGTAAGTTATTGACTTTAGTTAGGCGCTGTGGGCGGTAAGGTGGTTTCTTCTTTGTTGGTTGGAGTCTTGGATGGTGGAACAGCGGCGCCCGTCGAGGTTGACACTTGTGTGGAGGCATCACTGTCAGCGTCAACGAATATGCGCGCCTTGTCTATCTCCTGCATTAAACGTTTATACAACTCGTCGGCATTGAAAGCAAGGGCCTTAGCAGCCTGACGCTTGTTGTACGATATTGCTAGTCGCAACATGAACGCGTTCTCTTCGTCGTATTCCAGCTGCAAAGGAGAAGAAACAGTAAGCATTCGGATGAGACTCGTCTGTTGGCGTTAAATTAGGCATATTTATTTTACATACCTCGATGGTAGGAACAGTTCCACCCCACTCCTTCTTGTCTTTTTCCTTCCATACCACCTTAGCGATACGAATCCCGCCTTCGTAGTGATGTGTCTCATTCTGCCAAAAGAGAAGGTTAGTAAACCCAAAGGGTAGGCTTGTAACAACGATACTTACGTCGAGGATCTTGCTTCGTAAGTAACTGGTGAGGTTCTTGAGTTGTATGGGCGCCTTACGCTCAACCTTGATGGAAACAATACCTTGCGACTTGAAGCTGAGGTATTTAAGCAAGAAGATCACTCCGGTGCCTACAATCAACCAAGCGAAAAGACTGAAAAAGAACCACAGCCCCGGGTTATTGTAGAACATGACCTCGACGAAGCTTTTCATCCAGTCTTGATCGGCAACTGTCCAGTCCCCAGTGATTCGGTCCAGGATGTTAAACGCCAACAGACCACTCAACATCATCTTTATGATCAGTAGAGTCGAAGCTGAGCGCTCGTTTATCTCCTGTAGCTCACACAACGTTCGCGTGTTCATACGGATAGCTTCGTTTTGTTGGAAATCCTTCTCACTCGAGACAATACTCGCCATCTCGTTTAAAACAGCCAACTCATGGCGAGCACCGCCCATGTTCTTGTGTAAATCTTTTACTCGACGTTTCAGTTGGTTGCTCAGAATTCCCAACTGTAGTCGCTCATAAAGACTTCGCCCTGCCTGCTCAGGTGGTTCTGCGGGTACCATCGCTTCATCCAGTGATTCTTTTAAGTAACTCAACGTTTCCTCCATCATAATAATTTCTCTAGAGAGCGAAGCGAGGCGGTTCCGAATTTCTCGCAGTCTATTCGGATCCTTTTCGGCTGTCTCGATAAGTTTTCGCACTTGTGCCATGTCGTCTACGATGATAAACATTCGAGCGAAGAAGTTCTGTGTGAACAGATTCATGGACTCATACTGGAGAAAACTACACAGTAGTGGCTCATGATGTCTGCTATTTGGGCCGGCGATAAGTAGTCCGTGCGCTCCAAAGACGAGAGTATCGTGCTCGCTGATATCGAAAGCTGCACGGGTATCGCCGATTACCTGTTTCAATTCGTTCTCGTACTCGCCTTTATCCATGTACTCCTCTGCGGTTAAATGTGGTGTAATCTCGTTCGCGATGATGAGATTAATCTTGTTGCGACTAGCTGCTTGGTTCGAGAAGATAAGTCCTAGTAAAGAACGTTGGTATGCTGACAGAACGCTATCGACGATCTTGGAAGAGTCCATGTGAACGTCCACCAAGAGTCGAGAGAGGTGATCAAGCGAAATGTTGTCTTTGATACGATCCATGATAGCTTCCACCTGCATTCCGTACAAACAGGACCCTGCAGCTGTAAGTGAACATCCAAAGGTTTCAACCTGCACGACGCCAGGAGCTTCAGGAAAGTGGATATCCGCTTCAAAATTGACGTGGTTGGTCATCGTATAATCTAAAATGTTGATAGAAGTGAGCCCGGGATCAACGGATATCTGGGTTCCGCTTGCATTATCGTCAACGATTGCAGTGAAGAATCCGCCCTGAACTCGCTCGGTAGATCCCAGGTTACAGTTCAGTTGTACAACCTGGTTAGAACCGAAAGGGATGTACTCGGCTACAATGAGGGATACCGAGTTAAGTGTGATGATCTCGTCCAGTTGGTCGCGGATACTGGAATCGCTCACTCCACATTCATGAGCTCGATGTGCATTACTGAGTGTTGGTCTGCCGCCGAATCGTAGACACTGAGGGATATACGCACTAGAGACGTAGGATACATCCTCTGTTTCAGTCACAGACGATAGTCGCCGATACCCACTTTCGTCATCCACAAGCCAATACTCCTCTCCATCCCACTCTACACGCAACAGATGCAAAGTTCCTGGGGCGTACGCCATGTCATTGATCGCTAATTTGTCTGTCTTGCTCATTTTCGCCACGATTTCCAGTCCCTTCTCGGATATTTGATAGCAAGTCACAGGCTGATAGCTCTTGGACGATAGTTTGAGTCCGTTTACCAAGTCCTCTTCACGTAGAAAATCGAGATCGGACTTGCCTTCTTGCGAGATATTGAAGTACTTGCGCTTGTTCTCTATCAGTTCGGACGACGGCGCATAGTCGTAATCTAGTGCCTTGGACACGATCGCTTCGTACAGCAATACTAGAAGTGCTGGCTTACGAATCCACTCTTCCTTGTCCGAAGCACGGACAGCGGGCTTCGAGTACATTGAGATCAAATACAAAAGGCGGTTTTGGTTCTCCGTTAACCCTGTGTCTTCCTCGACCTCCTCGTCGCTTTCCTCCTCTTCTTCTTCAGCACTCTCTTCTTTCTCATCTTCGACGTCATCTTCGATTTCAGTGTCCTCTTTCTCCTTGTCATCAGCCGTCTTGTCAATAGCTACCGACTTCTGCAATGCGAAAAGCCACCACAACGAGATAAACGGTGTTAGAGATCATTCATTACCAAGCCTTGTCGTGTACTCATCATGCGTGTTCTTGCCTTCATCACTAGTAACTTTGAAGACTCGATGAGTCGTTTCAAGATAGTACTAATGAACGGTCTCACTTGTTGATAACTGTCTTGTATGGATAGTAGCTACGGCCTACATAGGAGTAAACTACATAAATGAAAATGGGGTGTGGCACAGGGGGCAGTTCTTCTGGTCTCGAATCTCGATTTCGATGCACACGTGGCGACAAGCTTTGCACATTTTCGTGTTTTGGGTCTGGATCGACATCCCCGTCATCATACACGTCGGGAACGGACGACTGCAGTTGCCACAACGAGCATCCCATTCCTTCACTTGGCATCGGCAATTCGGACACTCCTGTGGACGCATGGTTGGGTCTTGGTGCTCCGTCCGCGTGGTGGTGAAAATCTTGAGAGCAAGTTCACTCATCGCCTGCAACTCCTTGTCGTCCAGACCGGGAAGCGTCTCGAGCTTAACGAATGCCTTGGAGCATTGCTCGTAATGTTTCGTGTAGAACGCAGTGAGAGCGATGAGAGAGTAGATCTCGCGCTCTTCCAGAATATCCTCGTACGCCGAGAGTTTCAGACAAGTTCGCAACGCACGATCAATGCGTCCACCGTACAGCTGGCGATGAGCGAGAAGGTAGAGGTGATACGCTTCAGCGCCACGCCAAGGATTGTCCAATGACCGGTCCTCACCCGTTGCTGCATCATGTTGGACAAGACTCTCCAATGTCTGCGCAGTCACTTGAGCTGCTGTGGTGCCTTTTGTACTCGTCAAGCTCGACACGTCCAGCATCTTCTTCCTCATCCGCTCCACCTCAAACGCTGCTAACACGTGCAGTTTCTTGGCACGCAACGGGTTCTTCCCCACTTCTTTAGCGAGTTTTGCCAGTAACTTGGCAGCCTCGGTACTTTTATTCGCACGACGGTATAACTCGATCGCTTGTAGTGTCTTCCCGTTCATCATGAGGTGGTTTGCGTACTTTGTCAGTACATTCTCGATTTGAGGGAAGTTGTATTGTTCCGCTAGCCCCACAGCGCGCTCCCATTCGTTCAGGAGTACACAGGAGTCGATGGCAGACTTGACGTCTCCCATTCGCACATAGGTTTCCACAGCAGATTGACACAATCCAGCTCGCGTGAACTTGACGGCCATATCTTTTAGCAGTGGAGAGGTCTCAGGGATATCGTTCACGAAAGCTTCTAGCTGGTTGAAATCTCCCATAGCGTAGTAGCATTGTACCAGTGCATTGATATTCTTTGCTTGTGCGTAGTATTTAATCGCCTTCTCCCACTTGTGGCGGTCGGAAAAATACTCGCCGATCATGTTCCACGCGTGGGTGAGCAAGTCGTCGTTACCCCCGCCTGACTGAACAAGCTGAACAACTCGGAACCAGTCGCCAAGCCGCTGACGGAGATCGATAGCCAGATCTTTGCGGTCAATTTTGCGATAGAGCGCCTCAGCTTCGTCAAAATTTTGGAAATATGCGGCAACCTCCGCTTTTTGCTTGACGCGATCGTTGAGTAGCTGCAGTCGCTTGACGTACTGGATGCCGCTGTAGTCTCCACATTTGACGAAGCCACGTTCGGCCATGCCAAAATCTAGTTGGTCCAGTGCAGCCTCTGCTAGTAGAGACCAGAGTCGTGGATGTGGGTGGTCTTGAATGTACTCGCACGCTTCAGCAAGGCCTACATTATCCAGAAGCGCCCTGGCATCTCGCAGTGATCGAGTCTGGAACTCTATGACCATGTTCTTGTCTGGTTGTTCAGGGTTTGTGAGGATCTCATCCAACAGGGCAGCCTTCACTTGTAAATCCTTGTAATAGCAGAGATATCCCGAAGACGAGACTGGTTCTTCAGGCTCCAGTCCGCGATACACGTACATTCGAGCCTTCTCCATCATCACGAACAGCTCCGGGTTGTCTTCAGCCCATACGACGTCCCATGCGTCCTTCTTCTCAAAGTTTAGCATCTTGCCCTGTGTAGTATTTAAACTTCCAGCCGCTCCGACCTCCATGATGGTCAACAATCCGTTGATATCGATCACACTCAACAACGTTGAGTTGCAGTTTAGAGCCAGGAACTGCGGACGACAGTTCACAATGTACTTCATCTCGAGCGAAATGTGAGGCAAAGTGAAGCAGTGGATCAATCCGCTCGCTCGAGCTGCGAAGATCCAACTGTCCGAGGCGCAGATGGCACAGATCGGGTCTTCTAGCTGCCGAGAAACGTATCGGAAGTGTTCGACATCGTTGCCTTGTGTCTCATCGATGTAAAACGCTTTCTCCCGACCTCCTCGCTGCAGTAGCTGCGAGATTGTGCTCACATCCATCGTATCTTGGTTCTGTGAGCCAGAGACCAAACCAGTCAGTTTAGCACTGGAGTTCTTGTACTGCCAGACATAGATGGCATCAGTCGAGGCTGCTACGATATGACGCGACGTCATGGACACAAACAGTGGCTCAAAGTCGATGATCTTGGACTCAATTGGAGACCCAATTGTGTCGCACAGGATCAACTGGTACTGGATCTCCTTGAATACACCCTGTTCGTCGTCCACAAGCTGTCCATTTACTTCACCCGTGCCCATATCTTCGTTGTATATCTTAGTCACCAGCACGCAGTTATCTCCTGCCGCCTTGATCGCTAGAAGTCCACGAATGTACTTGGTGCATCGCTCATCTGACTTGGTATCCCAAAAGACGACGCAGTTCTCGATCTGGTCCGCACGGTTGTACGTGTAAACCAATGTGTTCGCGTAGAATCCCCACTTGTACGCTGGACGAATGTTAGCAAAGTAGATGTGCGAGTCCACCGCCAGACAGATACGTAAACCCGTTCCTTCCCAGGCCAACGCTTCAATTCGACTCCCAGGTACTCGAAGCGAGCGTAAATGACGTCCAAACGGGTCATAGAACTGGACGACGTTGAACTCTTTCGGCGCGTCAATTTTTGACGCCGAAGGATCCACCTGAGTACCAGCAAGGGCGATGACACTGCCGTCGTTGTTCCATCTAACTTGAGTTAACTCCATCCCCGTGTCGATTAGAACGGCGTTCTCGTCGAATCTGCCGCGAGTGATCTGCACTTTGCCGTCACGGAACGCAATGGCCAATGTGGGCGCCTCCTGACTGATGTGCCCCTCAATACCGTCGTACCAATGAACGCCAATGATCTTGTAGTCGCTGCCACCGCCACGTGACTCGACGGCGTAGAGCGTTAAGTTGCTCACTTTGTTGCCCATCGCGTCGTGTACAGCCACCTCACCGTCCTTAGTCACAAATAACAAGGACTTACCGTCGGGTGACCACTCTACAAAGGCCAATTGGGTCTTCATCTCTTTACCCCAAAGACGATTGCCATCGACCGAGCCGACGATCACAGCGCCGTCCTCGTACGCGATGCAGATCTTCTGGCCGTCGGTCGTCCACTTCATATCGCGCACGACGCTCTTGTTACGGTTGTTGATCATCTCTTCATACCACATGCCACGATGTAGTACCCATACGATGATGAGACCGTTCTCATCGCTTGTGGTGAGCTTCTTGAAGTTGGCGTTCCACGTAGCGCACACCACGGCGCCGTTGTGGCCCTCTAGCGACTGGTTCATAGTGAGATTGCTAGCGGCTGCGATGCCGCGTGGGCCTTTACCGTCGGTCTGCCCTGCTGATTCAAGTCGTAGCACCTTGAGCAGACCGTGCTGACCGCCGCAAGCGATCCAACCTTGTTCCGAGTTCCATGATGCACATCGCAGCTTGACATTGTTGGGGATGGCGATCTTCTTGCTCAGGAAGATAAACATCGCATATATTTGAGGCTTGGAGCCTTGGAAATTGTGATCACCGTGGGGGATAAAGGCTCCACCTCTTCAAAAGACGCGTCGCTTCACGAGCAAAATAAAGGCTCCACCTCTTCAAAAGACGCGTCGCTTTCTCCATCTTTAAAAGATCCTCCACCCCTTAGGAGATCACCTGTGATGCCAAAGTGGGCAAAGTTATTCGGCATCCGGGTCTCTTGGGCCTATAACACCAGGACAGGGCCCGGCAGGACTCCGCGACGAAGGGTTCGCCGGTAAAATAACAAGTAATAAGGCCGATTAGGGCGATTAAGGTTTTGTGCCAACACCTGCTACATGTAGCACTTCTTCTGGTGTTCTCGTCGCCATCTTGGTGACCACAAGTGTTCGTGAAAGACGTCGACGTTCAAGAACTGGGGCTAGTGATCAATTCTGAGCACCGGAACAATTACCTTCACCCCCTCTACTCGCATAAAAGAAATCTTTATGCAGTATTGCGAGTTGTAATTGATGACGGGAGTCTACGTGAGACCAGCCCAAGCCGACCACTGTTTACGGGGGGCGGGTCTAGGATACTTGTACGCCAAGTTCCTCAAAGGCGCCCTAAGGTCTGCTCCCGAGCACTGAATGGCAAGCAGCCAAGTATCGTCGCAGCCGATTTCCCAGCTGGCAGAGACTGCCGGTGTGTACTTAGCAACAGACCGGGCATGTTGTAACAAGCTTGACGTCGGGGGCGCTACAGCTCAGATCCAGACAGTCATTTTTGTTGGTCTCACGGTCGGTAGTGACTGTGCCCTCGTCGTGGACGAAGCGCGTGGATCATCGTGGCTTTCATCACTTTACACTGTAAAGTTTACATGGCAACTTGCTCGAAGGATATGCGTTTCGCATACAGACCAAAAATTTATCCACCATCGTTCTCGATCATTGAGAACTCGAGAGCCATGAACTCGTTGGCAAATTCAAAGCTGGTAAATATCAGATTATAGAACCGATAGAGGCTCAGCAACACTCCTAATCAAGTATCTTCATCCGGATAGCATGGTGGAGATTGAGAGTGTCAGTTTTGAGTAAAGGTTTACACTGAGCCTATCGCGCCAGAGACGAGGCGGTCGCCCCGCTCAATCGTCTTGCATTCACTATGCCTTACTCAACCCAAGCCACAATTGATACGTGGACCACCATCGTCTTTTATTGCAGAGTTTTTCTCGTCAAGAAGGCAGCAACAGGAACAGAGAGGAGGCCTTCATCGCCAGGCGCCTCCCTCCACCCACACCGCGCAGTTCCGCCCCCGACCGGTGGAGTCCATTCAGCTAACCAGCGCTCCAATCACACGTGGGTCACCTTGCCAACCTTCTCCTCTATTTTGGCCTCGAAGCGCACCTTCCCATCTCTTACATGTGTTCCTTGGCTTCGTGTGTTGATTGTGCCGTCCGTATAAATAGTGAAGACAGACGCCCCCCACTCGACTCAGACACACCACAGATCCCGATTCGTGCGACGATGGCCAAGTCTCAACAAGCTGCGCGCACGTCCGCCAAGATCCTGCGCACGAGCGTGAACGCCATGCGCACTGTCAGCAGCCACGCAGCGTCCAAGGCTTCGGGCCTCGCTGCACACCCGGCGCTGCGCCCCGTACTCATGAGTGTTCTCATGTTGTCGCTCTTGACTCTCGCCGTCATGAGCCTGGGCCACTTTCAGCTCTGGATGACCGGCGCCGGTCTCTTCATGGTGGCCATGAGCATCGCTAGTGCCGTACAGGAGTTTAAGTTGCCCAAGACCGCACAGTCATACCAGGACTTTCTTGACCAGGAAATTGACAAGTGCAGCCCCGACATGGTCACGCTGCCCCATCTGTCTCCTGTCAAGAGCAGCGCTGACAAGAAGCAGCAGAAACAGGTTCCCAAGGACGAGGTATCCTCCATGGCGCTGAACATCGCCTCGCCGGCTATTGTCAACCTGCCAGCCCCTATGACCCCTATCCAGCAGGAGAAGCCTAGCCGACGAGAGAGTGAGGACAGCATTGGAGCTCTAGAGTCCGCTATGAACACGACGGTTGTGGAGACCTCTGCTCGTCGGAACAGCACTGAAGTTGGTAGTAAGCTCGACGTGCTCCACTGCGGCACGGTCATTGACATTCAGGGATCACAGGGATTCATTATCCCGCACGACCTGTGCGTGGACGCCACGGCAGCATCCAAGACTGCACGCAGTGACGCTGTGGCTAGACTCCACCCATCAGAGCAGCACAAGATGCCGCTAGTTATTCCGTTTAACCTCAGTGAGGAGGCTCGTCAGGAGATTGCAGTAGGCAAGACCGTGGAGTTCGCGTACGCAGCGGATTCTCCAGCGACGAAGCGCGCTCTAAATGTAACACCAGTACCCACCGACGACGGCATTATGAAGAGCCGTTCAGCACTACAGTCCTGCAAGCAGGCACGCGAGGTGTCGTTCGCCCGAGCCATGGAAGAGTTGACGGTGATCTCACCACGCAACGTGCCAGTGAAGCACCACGTGGACCTGATTAAGTACGCTGAGAAGCTTGATGACCACGATGCTTCCTTCGACCTGTAAGACGAAAGGAGAAGCAACATAGGGATGGCTGACGAGTTCAAACTTGTTTGCATGTGAATACCAACAATTGAAGACCAGCTAAGAGCTGGATTGATACAATACTTTGAGCCTACTGTTTGCACCCGAGCTTATATTCGCTACCACAGCAAACAGCAGAGCTTTTTCTGCTTCATGCTCCTCTACATTTCACATCGCAAGCATACTCGTTCTAGCAAGATAAATACGGACGAATTGCGAGCTCCACCGAGGAGCATGTTGAAGCCTTTTCTTCCGCGCGAAAAAAGTAGTGTAGGCGCTAACGCTAACCCGTTTCAACTCCCTCTTCTTTTCATCTTAACCCACTAACACGATGATACCTAGTACTACTTGTAATTCTATGGTGTACGCCTAGCAGCCATGTAACTTTGCAAGACGTCTCCATCTTACTGAGGGTCTCTGGTTGTGCCATCAGCCATGATCGACTGAAGTGCTTGGCTAGCGGCCGTCATGAGCGGCGTGTCACCGTCAAGATCTTCGATATCCACCAACGCGCCGTGCTTAACCTGAGTCGAAATGTACTGGTGTTAGTCCGTTGCAGAGGTAACAGTGTCTTGTCGAGCAAAGTCATACCAGCAGTTGGGCCATTTCCTCGTGCTCACAACTGGCCGCGTAGTGCAACGGAGTCATTCCTTCAGCGTCCTGTTGTCCATATTAGCAAAGCGCTCGCTTAAAACTACAAGAACACCATGTTTACCTAGGTATAGATTAGCTTACCTGAACGTTTGGAGACGCCTTACGTCGAAGTAATTCCTCCACAATTGTCATCTGGTCCCGGTCGACGGCCCAGTGCATCATCGTTCGCCCTTCTGGATCCTACGGATGATTCACAGTATTAGGTCACATTAGTCACAGCGTGTGATAACGACAAGGTCATGGCTACCCGGCTCAATAATACTAGAATGGAACCCTGTTTACCTGAGCGTTAATGTCTTCATCCTGGTCCAGCGCAGCCACAAGCTTGTCCAGAGCTCCTGTGCTTGCGTAGTGGAAAACATCGTCTTTCACCTTCCACTCTTCGGTTGACCTAAACAATTCCCACAAAAGAATGAATACATGCATGCTAGTACACCACCACGCAATCAACAACACGTACATGTCCACTTTGGGCATGCTAACTGCTCCAGCCATCGAAATCGATCCATCCAATGACATGGACTCACTCATAGCCTTTGGTGACGAGGACGAGGACGACGATCGCCATCTCTTAGGACCGCGGACATCAAACTCCTCGAACAGATCTTGCACCCACTCCAGGTACTGTTGCTTGGCCAGATCCTGGTTCATATCACCCAGCGCCTTCCAGCTCTCCCTACTCAGAGAAACACATCCAAGTTAGCGATATTCCACCAACCAGCTTCCCGCAGCACGCACCACTTGGCCGATCCCACCATATCCACCGCGGACGGCTTCTCCACGCTGCATTTGCCAAAGTGTGCTTGCTTGTAGAACGCATAAAGCGTCAGTTTCTGACGTATGAAATACACACAGACAATTATGTCAGTAGTCGAGCCACCACGTATCTCCTGGACCCTGTCACAGCCGTCACCTGTTCATTCGTGAGCTTGTTATTGCCCCGTGCGGCAACGAAATCAACGGCCACTTGAAATTTAGCGTCCAACTCGCACATGCCATGCTGCAAGCACGTCAATACAAATGCTAGTCAGCGGAATGCAGAGCTTGTCACAAGGTCGGAACAAAAGGATACCTTGGTCATGTACTCCTCGAGTGAGCTGCTGCCGGCCGAGCTCTCGTGGTTCACCTTCTTGTAGAAGAAGATGCGGTGCAGCAACAGCGGCACCACTGCGGCCCCTGCGGCTGCGCAGGCCACGCCCAACCACGTCATATCCGTGAGCTCTTCCGCCATTCTTGCGCTTCAGTTATTCTGCTTCGAAAAAAATGGTCAGTTGATACGTAACGTTCATTCGTCAAAATTTGCTTCTTTTGGCCAATAGAAATGTCGTATTCACTTCAACGTCTTCAACATCGGCGTTGGCTGGCATCGAGTTTTTCTTCTGCCGAGTCGCAGATGTAGTGGCTTCCATGCCATCCTCTTAGCTATAGCTTCTTGTCATTTGAGAATTACCTCTACAGCGAAGAAGAAGAGAGCAAGCGAGCGAGAAACACAACAATGGAGTCCAAGAAGATTGACATCGTGGCTGGAGGGATGTTGCAAGAACTTTTCCGTCGCGAGTTGCCGAACGACCGCAACATGTTGTCGGCGAGTGCTTTGGTGTCGCCTGCTCAGTACCGCCTGGTGGTGCAAGCCCACGAAGCCTTCCTCAATGCTGGGGCGACAATGATCGTGACTAGCAACTACTACGTGACCCCGGGTGTGGGCTTCACACCCGACGAGATCCGCGAGTACTCGCAGACTGCGGGTGAACTGGCCGTTGGCGCTTTGGCGAGAACTAACAAGCAGGACCATGCCAAGATCTGCGGGTCACTGCCTCCGCTTATGTACAGCCTTCGGTCGGACCGCACGATCCAGCGTCAAAAGGGACTGGACACGTATTTGCTGATCGGGGAGGCTCTGCTCCCGTCAGTTGATATGTTTCTAGCTGAGACCATGTCGTCTCTGGCTGAAGCCAAAATGGCCTTTGAAGGCGTGCAACCACTGCAGAAGCCCGTGATGGTGTCGTTCGCACTCAACAGCACTGGCCAACTCCGCAGCGGCGAAGACGTGGTTGAGAGCGTGAAGAGTTTAATCGAGTTCTGCACGCGTAGTACGGAGCTATCACCAGGAGAGGTGGAAGGTAGATCCAACCTCCTGTGCGGCATCCTGTTCAATTGCTCGCAACCAGAAGATATTGCCAAGGCGCTGAAGCAGCTGAAGGAGGATCTAGCTGTCATGGGGGCGCTGCAGGAGTTCAATATCCGCATCGGTGGTTATGGTGACCGTATCTCGCCAATGTCCAAGGCTGGTATGATGGAGGAGTCGCTCGTGCCTGGTGCACTGCAGTCCGTCATGGACATGGAGGTCTACAGCAAATTTGCCACACGCTGGATCGAGGAAGGCGCCACCATTGTGGGTGGCTGCTGCGGCATTTCACCTGAGTACCTACAGCGCATCTCGGAAGTGCTGACGATGTAGGACAACGCGTACGTCTAGCACCAACCTGCCAGCTTTATAAAAAAAAACAATCTAGGTCTATTTCACATTTGACATGCTTTTTTCTAGCTCACTTTTTCTTTATCGAAAGTTTTCTTTTAGAATTTGCTTTATCTTGAAATGGTTATCAAAAATTTCGGATAGATTGTTTAATGCATGTGGCGACGGATGACTACGACGATAAGGAAGACTTCACGAGTGACGTTGCTGGACGGAGGCACGGGTGAAGAATTACTCGCTCGCGGGTTGCCTGTCGACCGCCACATTTGGTCTGTCACGGCACTAGTGCACGAGCAACACCATAAGCTGTTGCGGGAAGTTCACACGACATTCCTGGACGCAAACGCGGACTGTATCACGTGCAACAACTACGGTGTAACGCCTGGTGTGGGCTTCAGTGATGACAAGATCGCACGATACACTGCCGTGGCAGGTCAAGTGGCTCGAGATGCCTGCGATCAGTGGACAGAAACCCACACGACGAGACCGAAGCCGAAGGTCTGCGGATCTCTGCCTCCGTTACTAGAGAGCTACAGAGCCGACAAAGTGCCCAACCAGGAGGAAGGAGTAAGACTGTATGCGATGATTGCACAGACACTAGCGCCCTTTGTGGACTGCTACTTGGCTGAGACGTTGTCATCAATTCAAGAGGCAAAGATGGCGTTGCTAGGGGTGCAACAGACTCAGAGTGGAGAGAGTGAAAAAGCGGTGGGAGTGATGGTATCATTTACACTTAACAGCTACGGGCGTGTTCGGAGTGGGGATAAAGTTTGTGAGGTAGCAGAGGAGCTACTACGCTTTACTGCTGGCATGTCTGGAACGGAACTGCAGGCTATTCTCTTCAATTGCTCACAACCCGAGGCCACCTGTAAGGCTCTAAGTGAGCTACACGAGGATGAAGGCATACGAGCAAGTCTGCGTAGTCGTGGGGTGCGTTTGGGCGCATATGCTAATCGCCTTACGGTCATTCCGGATGATTGGACTCTCGCGGAATCTAGTGAACCACAGGCCATGCGCACAGATCTGGCTGTAGAGAAATACAGAGATTTCGTCTCGCAGTGGGTGGAGCTGGGTGCTGAAATTGTAGGAGGCTGCTGTGGAATTGGGCCCGAGTACATCGCAAGCATTCACGAGATGCTGCAACAACAAGGTCGACGCTAACGCAATATTCACACCAACGCGCACTCCCATTCTGTGTGTCTTCCTTCTATACAGTGCTCAATCGATGAGGTTGCTGGCAAATTGTACCTGCATTATTACTTTTCAACGGACATTTGACGTCAACCAACAGTACGCACTGATCAAGTAACCATGCAATGAATGACACAATATCGTATTATGCACTACTGCATACTACTTCTGAAGTATACAGCATTCTTAATCACGTGCAGCTTGCTTATTGACCTCTGGTTCTTTGTCTTTCGGGTCGCTTTCCTTTGTCATCGCTGACGCAATAATTAGCTACTCCCTACCGCAACAGATTCAAGATGAGCAGCGATATCATCAAAGTGAAAGCGGTGAGCCATTTCCAACGGCGTTTCGTCGTCGTATAGCGCTGCGCGTGCCTCCAAATCCGCTCCAGCGCGCACGAGCTCCTCCACAAGATCCAATCGATGCTTCTCCACAGCCTTGTGCAGTGGAGTCATCGTCGTGCGAGCACATATAGCACTCACTTGTTCCGCACTTGCACTGTCAAGCGCCTTCTTCAAATGCTGCACACATTCTCCTTGCGCCATGTTGTCGCTCTCGTCAATTACCTGATGCACATTCACCACTTCCGTCGTGTTGCCATTCCTATTCTGCTCGTCAATTTCCAGTATCGCCAGCTCACGCGCAAAGAAGTTCCGGTATCTCTCCAGTAGCAACTGTTCCTCAAATGTATATGCTCGCTCAGGCGTCACATCCAAGTCTTCCACTCGAATTGACTGTACCGCCAACGCGTAGGTGACATCATGGCCAACAAAATGTGCGAACTGTCCACCGTCCGGGTGGAACAAACTCGAGTCTGTCACATCATAGTGTCGTCCTTGAAACATGATCGTCCGTAGATGTTTCACATCCTTCGCACTGCGAATCACCACCTTGCTCACCGTCTTCGCGCCGAATCCCAGTGGGCATTTGCCACCGGAGCTCCCGCTGGAATCCGGCAGTAGCTTCGTCCTCAATGCATCCCACTTCTGACCGCCGTAGCAGTCGCTAAGCTGTGCCACCACCTCGTAGCGTGAGTGGAAGCGCACGAACCACTCCCGAATCAGATCATACCGGCGCCTTACAGGTTCCTCGTCGCCCTGTAGTGCGTCCAACGGCCATTCGCGGTCCAAGTAGCTGGCCACTGCCTCTGCGTCGTCCTCAGCGTCCGGCGTGAGCCCCATTTGCAGCAACAGGAACGTGACATCATGGCCTATCCAGTGGCTATATATTCCAGCTCGGCTGGCGTCGAAGAAGGGATCTCCAGCCACGTCGAACGCCGTCCCGCACAACGCCACCCAACGGTCAGACGCATGCAGCTCTGAGAGACGCACACGCGGTGCAGCCGCCAGTCTCAGCGCTGCAAGACTCTTGAGACGACGACGGCCCACCAACTTGCTGCAGTAGTAGCCGCATACAGCGAGCGTGGCGCCCAACGCCAGCGACAGCAGCAAACGCTCCGAAATGCTCGTCATTGTAGACGGTGATAAGAAAATGCTGCTTGCTTCAAGTTCATACTAAGTGCGATTCATAACAATTATGCGCGCGCCGCCAGCATCGCGTCGATCTGCTGCTGCATGCGCGCCATCTGCGACTGGGAAGTCTCGAGCTGGCCCTGCATCTCCTGCACGGCGCGCACTAAGTGCGGGATAATGCCGACGTAGTTGAGCGACTTCCAGCCGTCGCCGTCCTCCTGCACCAGGTCCGGCAGAATCCGCTCCACTTCGTCGGCTAAAAAACCGGGGTATTCGCCTGCGGGGAAGTTGCGGGCCGGGATCTCGTCTCGCCGCCATTTATACGTTACCTGACACCAGCACAGAAGAAATATTAGAATGCAGGGAGATTCGAGCGGTAAAGGAGCTACAACGCACCGGACGAAGCTGCCGGATAATCTCCTGCGACGACTCCACGTCACGAATCGCAGTCTTCAAACGCCGGTCAGAGCTCGAGTTTACTGTACCATAAATGGTTCCTGCGCAGCGGAGATCGCGGCCGACCCCGACGCCACCAGTTACAACTAAGGCACCACTGTTTGCCGCCCCTGATTGAGTATTACTCGATATGAGTACATCACCCGCGGATACTGTGATACCAGTGTCCACGACAGTCACGCCACCCTTAATGCTGAGTCCACCGGAATATATCGTCGTCGCCCCACCTGCCGTCACGGTGAACTGAGGTGTGCCGCCTACCTTCGCGCTGATGAGAGAAAAACCACTAGTTGCAGTCGAATCCATAGAGAGCAGCGCTTTGTCAAATACGTTATTTGAGTTGGTGAGCGTCAGTGTGCTGGTCGTCGTTCCGGTGTCAGTAATACTTGCACCCCCAGTAGTCACAGTAAGCCCGGTGTTCGTGATGGTGACTCCACCTGCAACACTTAGTCCGCCAGCGGCTATGGTGGTCAGTCCTGATGCCTCCACCGAGAATTTTGGCGATCCACCAGCGACACTTGCACTTATCAACGAAAACCCGGTCGTCAAAGTACTAGTGTCCAAGCTGAGCAGCGCGCCAGAGAATATTCCGGTTGTTGCCGTGTTCTTGACCGTGAGCGTGTCGGCAGTAGTGCCGGTGTCATAAACCCTCGCTCCACCTGTGGTAACGGTGACGCCGGTATCGACTGCAGTGATGCCGCCTGTTATGCTGGCTCCGCCAGCGGAAACCATCAGTCCCGTGTTCGACACGGTGACCCCGCCCCCAACGGTTAGACCACCAGCAGCAATGGTAGTTGCACCGGTGGCGTCCACCTTGAAGACGGACGTGGGCGTTGACCCGACTTTCGCGTCAATGAAGAAGAAGCCGGCAGTATCGGTCGTGGCCAT